TTCGCAGAAACCTCTTATCACAAAGATTTCTCAACCCCTCAATACATCACGGTGGTGAAATTCAGACCACCCAATTTAATTATATACATGCACACATATTCACACATACATACATATATATACACTTACATATATATATATATATATAGAGGTATGTGTATGTATATATATATATGTATGTACTTATATATATATATATATAGCAGTTAATATGTATGTATACAATTCACATTATCTTCATGCATCCTTGCAGGACTACTGGTATGCAAGGTTATGTAATATATATATATATATATATATATATATATATCTTCCTTCCCAAATGATGTGCATAGCTTACTGATGGTATATATACAAATTGTTTTTTGCCAACAGTTTCATGCAAATACAATACTTGCCGTAACCACCATATGCACTTATATGAATTTTTAGTCAACCCAATAAAGCTTTCGATATCTAACTTACCTACGGTTTGTGATTATCCCTTTTTTTTATTATTATTTTTGCCTCAAATCCCAGTGAACTAACGAAACTTCATAACCGAACAACATCTCGATTATAAAGCCTCTCATCAGCAAGAGTTCTCAAACATTATTCGATTCATGACAGTGGCAAATTATAGGTCATCCTTTGTAAATATATATTGACCAATGACCATGCGAACCATAAGTTTCATCTTTAGAATCAAAACAAGGGTCACAATTCAGCGACCCGGTGTCATGGTGGTTACCATCGTGACGAGCGATGGTGGTGATAACGGTGACTGTTGCCCTATGGGAACCCACATGAACGGTCGCACGACTAGCGAGATCATCTAGTAAACATACTTTAAAAGCGGAAAAGTACGAAACACTTACCGATTGGTGTCGAACTAGACGCGTTGTATCGAACATTCATTTTCTTCTCCGCCGTCCACTAGCTCTCCTTGACGATGAATTTCTTCTCAAGGTTACCATCCTTTTTATACCCTCCATTTGGCGGTTTCAAAGCAATCGAACCATTCCCCCATAAATAGTCTGTAGTTACTTAGCCTCTTGACTTGCTTAAGCCACCCCTTCACTTATCCTTAACCCCCCACCATTACTAAGCATGATCATCATCATCATCATCATCATCATCATCATCATCATCATCATTATTATTATTTTCTTTGGTTATTACAAACTTCCCCCCTTAACAAAATTTCGTTCTCGAAATTTGCCTTATACAAATAAATGGGGGTATTTCAACCTCATATTCTTCTCGGGTTCCCATTTCAACCTCATATTCTTCTCGGGTTCCCAAGTTGCTTCCGCCCCCCTATGATGTTTCCATTGGACTTTCACGAGAGCAATTTCTTTGTTTCTTAGCTTCCTCACTTTTCTATCGATAATTGCCTCTAGATCTTCAATATAACTTAGTGTCTTGTCCACCTTTATATCCTTAAGAGTCACCTCGGTGTTTCTGCCAAACACTTTCTTAAATGAGATACGTGAAATGTGTTATGGATGCCTTGAAGTTCTTCTGGTAGTTTCAACTTGTAGGCAACCTCGCCTACCCTTTCAGTTATCTTGTAAGGACCAATATAACGAGGACTTAGCTTCCCTCGCTTTCCAAAACAAATTACGCCTTTCCACGGTGAAATCTTAAGCATAAATTTGTTCCCAACTTGAAATTCTATCGGCTTCCATCTTTTATCGGCGTAGCTTTTCTGTCTATCTTGTGCTACCTTTAACCTTTCTCTTATCTGTTTTATCTTGTCGGTAGTCTGTTGAACTATTTCGGGGCCAGCCAATTGTCTTTCACCCACCTCATTCCAATATAATGGCGTTCGACACTTTCTCCCATACAAAGCTTCATATGGTGCGACTTGAATGCTAGCATGATAGCTATTGTTATAGGAAAATTCTATCAATGGAAGATGGCTTTTCCATGACACTGCAAAATCGATAGCACATGCCCGCAACATATCTTCTAGAGTTTGAATGGTCCTCTCGCTTTGACCATCTGTTTGTGGGTGATAGGTTGTACTTAACTTTACTCGTGAGCCTAACTCTCTTTGAAAGCTTTGCCAAAACGTAGAGGTGAACCGACTGTCCCTATCAAAGACTATTGATAATGGAACACCATGACGAGTCACAATCTCGTCTATATACAACTTAGCTAGTCTTTCCATCGAGTACGTTTCTTTAATTGGTAGAAAATGTGTAGACTTTGTGAGTCTATCAACGATTACCCATATAGCATCATAACCCTTTGGTGTCCTTGGGAGTTTCGTCACAAAATCCATTGTGATGTGGTCCCACTTCCACATCGGAATTTCTAGGGGTTGTAGCTTACCATATGGTCGTTGATGTTCAACTTTGACTTGTAGACATGTCAAACACCTTTCGACATAATAGGCTATGTCTTTCTTCATCCCTGGCCACCAGTAAGATTGACAAAGATCTCGATGCATCTTATTGTTACCTGGATGAATGGAATATCGAGATTTATGGGCTTCGTCTAACACTTGGTTACGGAAGTTGCCCTAGCGAGGAATCCAAATTCTGCCTTTATAGCACTTTAACCCCTGATTATTATCTTTAAGCAACGGACCAACCCCTACCATTTTCTCTCCCTTCAAGTTTCCCTCTACGAAAGTTTCTTCTTGAATTTTCTTGAGTTCATCGGTCCAACTAGAAATGACCTCCATCCTCATTGCTTTAATCTTCACCCGATCGCTCCTTTCTTTGCCACTTAATGCGTCGGCCACCACATTTGCCTTCCCAGGGTGATATAAAATTTCACAGTCATAATCCTTCAGCAACTCCATCCACCTTTGTTGTCTCATGTTCAGGTCCTTCAGATCAAACAAGTATTTTAAACTCTTGTGATCAGTATAAATTTGGCACTTCACCCCATATAAGTAGTGCCTCTATATCTTCAATGCAAACACCACTGCTGCTAACTCTAAGTCGTGAGTTGGGTTTCGCTTCTCGTGTTCTTTCAATTGACGTGAGGCATATGCAATAACTTTCCCTTGTTGCATTAGCATACAACCAAGTCCTAGCTTGGAAGCATCATTGTAGACTACGAACCCTTCAGTTCCTTCTGGTAAGTTCAATATCGGTGCGGTGCTCAACTTTTCCTTCAAGACTCTAAATGCCTCTTCTTGAGATGATTTCCAATCAAACTTCACACCTTTCTTTGTTAGTGCTGTCAACGGCGCCGCTATTCGTGAAAAGTCCTGAATAAACCTTCGGTAATAACCGGCTAATCCCAARAAGCTTCGTATCTCAGAAGGGGTCCTTGGTGGCTCCCACTTCTTTATAGCGTCTACCTTKGCCGGATCTACTTTTATACCTTCTTGGGTCACCACATGCCCTAGAAATTGAATTTCTCGGAGCCAGAACTCACACTTCGAAAACTTCGCGTATAATTTTTCCTATTTCAGCAACCTCAAAACCGTGCGAAGATGTTCCTCATGCTCATTCTCAGTGCGGGAATAAATTAAAATATCATCTATGAAAACAATGACAAACTTATCTAGGTAGGGTTTGCATACTCTGTTCATCAAATCCATGAAAGCTGCAGGTGCATTTGTCAACCCAAATGGCATTATTAGGAATTCATAATGCCCATACCTAGTCCTAAAAGTTGTTTTAGGCACATCCTCCTCCCGGACCTTCAGYTGATGATAACCTGATCGTAGGTCGATCTTTGAGAAATAACTGGCACCCTGAAGTTGATCGAAAAGRTCATCAATCCTTGGAAGTGGGTACCTATTCTTTATGGTTACTTTGTTAAGCTCGCGRTAGTCGATGCACATCCGCATTGTGTCATCCTTCTTTTTAACGAATAATACCGGCGCTCCCCAGGGCGAGGTGCTAGGGCGTATAAAACCCTTGTCTAACAACTCCTGCAACTGAGTCATYAGCTCTTTCATTTCTRACGGTGCAAGACGATAAGGTGTTCGAGCTACAGGTGCAGCTCCCGGTACAATATCAATCTGAAACTCTACCTGTCTCTCGGGTGGTAGACTTGTCAGGTCATCCGGAAAGACTTTAGAAAACTCCCTCACAACAACAATGTCTTCCATACTCTTTTTCTCTTTCCTAGCATCTATCACATATGCCAAATAACTTTGACATCCCTTTCTTACACACCGCCTCGCTTTAACTAGGGAGATCATGCTAGATTTCCTATTTCTTCTATCTCCATAAATTACTATGGTTCCATTATCGGGTAATTCAATATGAATTATCTTTTTGTTACACATAATTCTTGCCTGGTTTTCAGCTAACCAGTCCATTCCAATTATTACATCAAATTCCTCGAGAGTAGGGGTGAGCATAGGCGGATACCCGCCCTTTTTGAAAGGTACCGGAACCAGAACCGGCGGTTCTTGAGATATTGGAACCGGAACCGGTTAGAGCGGTTCTTAAATTTTTGGAACCGAAACCGGAACCGCCTGGAACCGGTTCCGGTTTCGGGTACCCGCTTCCTAAAATATTAAAAATTTATTATTTAGAAATAAAAAATAAAACATTGCCAAAACACTAAATAAATAAGCAAGAATACAAATTATACAGAATAATGGTTACAAATATTRWTTAACGATTACAAACCATAATAGACTAATAGAAAATGTTCAAAGTTTAACGATTACATACTATAATGGTAATTGTTCAAAGTTTAACGATTACATACTATGAANCACACAATTTGAAAAAATACGAATCATTTTATATGAAGAATTTAGATGAAGATTGAAGATGACGACGTGCTTTTAAGATGTAAACCTAATATAAATTTGGTATTAAAAAATAATTATTATTTTTTTATTGAAAAATACCGGGTACCCGACGGGTAACGGTTCCGAAAAATTGAGAACCGGAACCGGAACCGGAACTATTCTCACTTGGTTCCGTATTTTAGGAACCGGAACCAAAACCACTCATATCGATTCCGGTTCTGGAACCGGCAGTTCCAAGGCGGTTCCGGTTCTATAGCCGGGTACCCGGTTCCGCTGCTCACCCCTACCCGAGAGTCATAGGGAGTAGTTTTAATGGAATCGAACAACCGTCTATCTGAATATTGCAGTCATCATACTCTTCTCTAATTATCACCCTATTATCATTGGCAGTTTCTACCTCTATGGCTGAACTCAAAGGCTTCGGTAYTCTATGCAAATAATCACAGAAAATTGTAGACACAAAAGATCGGTTTGCTCTAGAATCAAAGAGTACTCTAGCACGTACAGAGTTGACCAGAAAGGTACCTGTCACAACGTCTGGTGTCTCCTCGGCCTCTGTTGCTGTCATGTGGAAGAATCTTCCTTTTGACTTAGGTACTCCAGGTTGCCTTTCCTCCCTTTTTCCATTTCGACTTCCACCGTGACTTGTAGTATGCTTATTCTTCTGCTGAGGGCAATTTGCTTGTATATGGTTGGGTGACTTACAAATGAAGCATAGTCGCTCCCTTCGCTCAACTTGGCAATCCTGAGACAAATGTCCAGGCTTCCCACATCGGTAACACATCCTCGGCTTAATCATGCATTCTTCATTGTGCACACGGTTGCATTTAGGACATAGTTTAGCAGCTTTCCCTTGCCATGTTTTCTTTTCTGAACCCAGAAACTTCGGCTTCCTGGTTTCATTGCTCGGACCTTCCCATTTTTTTTTATTTGGCCCCGCTCAGCATTTTGACGATTCATCTCTTTCTCTCGAATTTCTGCAGCGTTTACTGCCTCTGGAAATGTGGTTGGACTCATAGTGAGAACAAATTCCCGGATGGATGCTTTCAGTCCCCAGATGTACCGCTCTACCCATATTTCCTCAGTCGAAACATTGTGCTCGGCAAACCTCCTTTTTTTGTAAAACTTGTTGTATACTCCCAGACTGTCATGATTCCTTGTTCCAACCTCAAAAATTCCTCTTCCAGTTGCTTGATCGCACTTCGAGGACAAAACTTCTCATTAAATAATACCTTAAACTCACCCCATGTCATTCTTGCCACAGCCTCTTTGCCCCTTAAGTTCGTAATTATTTCCCACAAGAAAAGGGTTTCTGATTTTAGCATGGATGTCGCATATGTCACCATATCTTCCTCCGCACACTTACTGATTTTGAAAATCACTTCTGTCTCTTTTATCCACCTCATAGCTGCCACTGGGTTAGGGTCACCTTGAAAGAGTTGGGGCTTACATGCTAGAAAGGTCTTATAATTACAACCTTGTTGTCCCGTGCTCGTGTTGACAAGACTATTTGGTCTTGACCTCTCATGTCGGTCTTCTCTGTTGTTTGAATCGCTAATTTCTCCTCTTCTATTGCTTATCACCCTATCCTCTTGATTTCTCAGCTCTGCCTCTCTCACCTGAGCTATAACTGCAGGCAAGGCAGCTTGCAAGGCTCTTGTCACCTCTTGAGCAATGATGTCCACAGGGGTAGCGGCGGTTGCCCGGGTTCGTCCTCGCCCCCTGCCTCGACCTCGCCCCCTGCCTCAACCTCTTCCAGATTCAGAGCTTCCTTGCACAGGGGGCTCAGGTTCATTTTGTGTCGTTTGAGTCCTACTTCGCCACCTTCCTCTTCCTTGTCCTCGTCCCCGCATGCTAGCGGTCTTTGCGGCCGCAACTGATGCTGGTCGGGTCTCTTGTACAATAGGGGTAGCTCTTATAGGTGGTGGGTTTACTGCATCGGGTGTAACCGATGTTGTCCTTCCTGACCATTGCGACATTATTGCTGTGTGCGTTAAATATTTACATTTATAAGCATATTTATTCATAACCTACTCATCCAACATTCACTCAATAAGATTAAACACTAAAATAATATATTGCATGTAAAAGATAAGTCAATACATAAGTCTTGCTTACTACGCCAAACTGGCTATAACACAAACCAAAATAAAACAAAATAAATCAAGCTCAAGGCCTGTTAATATCCAAAAATATCCTAACCAAAAAGTACTTAACGCAAGACTATGTTTCTTTCTCACTCTCTCACTCAAGGCATGTCCGTGGAGTAATTAACGATCTTCACAAATTCCTCATAAGTGTTATCTGGACGGTATTTCCAGATAAATCCCAAGCTCGGGCCATGATGGTATTGGTGTGCCCAGCTGGAAAAATACTCCTTGGTCAAGCTTACATATTTCAAGGCCACTCCATGGTAATAGCGAGCACGGTCTCCCAATCGCACTTTCCAAGACCGGGTGGCAATCCTTCTTTCCCACTCTAACTCCACACACTTCCACGCCATGTCGTGGTTGCTTTCCCAAAGTTCATCATTTTCTTTCAACACCTTGTTTAACTCTCCCCCTAAATTAACATGTTCCATTTGCAAGTTATTCAACCACGATTCCACTTTGGTCTTTTCCACTTGAATCTTAGACAATTCCATTCTCAGTCAGCATTCTCACCATGCAAATTCGTTATATTCTCTTCTAAGTCCTCACGAGTAGGCGTGCGTAGGGTGTATTCCTCATAAGGTTCCTCTGTTGGATCATAGGAAGAATCTTCTAAAGGTGTGGGTTGAGATGACTCAGCCCTTGAAACACTCATGTGACCCCTAGAACTGCTCCTCAACCTCCTAGAGTGTCTGCTACTGTGGCTAGAGCTTGTACGATCACGTTCCCCGACTCCACCCCTTGGTCCTAGTCCAGCTACCGCACTACCTCTGGCCCTACCTCCTCGACGACCAATACTCCTAGTATGCTTGGTATAAACCATATTCCTACAAAACCACAGTGAAGAATCTATCATCTTCCAACAAACTTTCAAAACTTAAAAGAAAATTAACCAACTATAATAATATTAAATCATATAACCATTTCCCCCTTTCTATCTTTTACACTCCATTTCAGTTTAAGCTTAGGCTAAAATTAATAACTTATTTCTCTTAAACTAAGACTCTGATACCACTTGTAACATTCCAAAATTTCTTGAACACTTAAATATATCATAATGAGTATCCCAAGATCAAACACTTACATTGCAACGGAAATAAAATTTCTAATCTTACAATTTATATCACAATTTAAACTTACAATCTTGACGAGCATACTTTGTTCGATATAACAATGCCTTGATCTACACATGTCCTTTTTTGATGCTAATCCTTATTTCTCTCTTTATCCAACTTTTCTTTCCAGTCTAATAGCCGTCTGGGTGAAAACGTTTTAAAAGAGTTTTGGGTGAGCCTTAGGCCCGGTGAATCCATGGTTTCATGCATGAACAACAACTTTTATAAAAAACAATTTTCATGAAGCTTCATAAATTTAGCACGCCTTGATGAGAATAATGATTTTCACAAAATAAAGATATTTTAGCGGTGTCTACATCACAAAGCAACAGCGTCATGAGAGATGTCTACCTCACACAGCATTACTCGACGAACTCACACAGCATGTTCGCACTTATGGCTTAGACAAGATTACAAAGCATGCTCGTCTTTACAAATTCATATTGTAGTACATCCCCATTGACACACAAATACTCAAAACAGATATTATAAAAATATCGAACTTTTCACGCATATATAGCATATCAAAAATCTCGAGAAACTTCAAACAACTTTTGGATAATAAGGCTTGCAACCATTTTAAAAATAAATCACGTGTAACTCACAATACATGGCGTAGCCCAAACCGATCTTTGAAGTGGCTAGCGTCTCCCCGATTGGTGCCAAACTAGCTACGATGTAGAGCACCGTCAACTCTCATTACAGCTTCCACCGTCGCCTTTTCTCACAATAGTTCTCCTTCTTGACCCCAAACTACACATAAAGCTACAAAACTCCCATTTTATACTAAGCCCCATCGGCGGTTTCACGGAATATGAAACGATAAGCCATAATTAATGGTCGTTGGTTTCATGACCATTGAGTTTCCTGTCATTAAATTACATTCAATTTATTTCCCTTTTTTTGTTATTACACTTCATCAGACCGAGTACTTCTCCTTGGGGTGCTCCGATGTTATTTGTTAAAAAGAATGATGAGTCAATGAGAATGTGTATTGATTATCGGTAACTAAAAAAGTTGATGATAAATAATAAATATCTTTGACCAAAAATAGATGATTTGTTTGATCAATTAGTTAGAGCAAATTATTTCTCCAAAATCGATTTATGGTTGGGGTATTATCAGCTAAAAGGCAGAGATGAAGACATTGCCAAAACAACATTCCAAACCAGATACGGACATCATGAGTTTTTGGTCATGCCGTTCGGTCTAACAAATGCTCCAGCAACGTTTATGGATTTAATGAACTAGGTCTGTAATGAATATCTTGACAAATTTGTTATTGTATTTATCGATGATATTCTTATATAATGAAAATTCGAACCGGAGCATGCCAAGCATCTTCGATTAATTCTTGAACTTCTGAAGAAAGAGAAATTGTATGCCAAGTTGTCCAAGTGTGAGTTCTGGTCGAGGGAAGTTCAGTTTTTGGTTCATATTGTTTATGAGGCAGGGTAAAAGTAGATCCTGCAAAAATCGAAGCTATTGAAAATTGGGTAGTACCAAGAACCCCTACCGAGATTCGTAGTTTCTTAGGTCTGGTAGGGTATTATCAGAAATTCATTCAATACTTCTCAAGTATTGCTGCACCATTGACCAAGTTAACAAGGAAAATTGTTAAGTATGAATGGGAAGAAGACCAAAGTAAAGCTTTCCAACTATTGAAAGACCATCTATGCGCTCTAATATTGTCGTTACTGGATGGGTCTGAAGATTTTGTAGTGTATAGTGATGCTTCAAAACTGGGTTTGGGATGCGTATTGATGTAGAGAGGGAAAGTTATTGCTTACACATCCAGACAGTTAAAATATCACGAGAAACAGTATCCGACACATGACATGGAGCTTGCAACCGTGGTTTTTGCATTTAATATTTGGAGGTGTTATTTGTTGGGAACTAAATGTCAGATTTTCACTGATCATAAAAGCCTTTAACATTTGTTTAATCATAAGGAATTGAATATGCGGCAAAAACGGTGGATTAAATTAGTAAACGATTGTGAGTGTGAAATTCTTTGTCACACTGGAAAGGCCAATGTGGTAGTAGATACGCTTAACCAGAAGGAAAAGAGTGGTACAATTAAGGCTGTTTCATTGAGAACAAACCTAACTCCCGACATTCATAATGAAATTTTAAGATGTCAAAGTGAAGCGGTCAAAGAAGAAAATTTCAAGACTGAAAAAGTTGGTGGAATAATTTCAACCTTGACGAAGAATGATAAAGGAATTCTATGTTTTCAAGGCAAAATTTAGATACCGCATTTCGGAAATAACCGAGAGCTAATTTTAGATGAGAGTCACAGATCGTGATACTCGAATCATCCAGGTACTAAAAAAATGTATAAAAATTTAAAACCATTTTATTGGTGGTCAGTATTGAAGAAAGATATTGCAATATATGTAGAACGGTATTTGACGTGTCTACAAGTGAAGGTTGAGCATCAAAGACCATATGAGAATTTACAGTCTCTGGAAATTCCCATGTGGAAGTGAGATCATATTACAATGGATTTTGTCATG